TCCTCTCCTCTGTGAGAGAAGGGTATGCCGAGCATGCAGCTTGGCAAGGGATTCTAGAGAATCCCAGACAATTCCCAAGATTTAAGGTTGAGAGCGGCCTTATTTCAAAGTTGAATGACTTGGGAGAACCACATCTGGTTCTCCCAGACGTCATTCATAAAGGGGAGAAGGTGACTGGGATCACCATCCAAAACACACATGAGATCCTAGGTCACCTAGGATTCCATAAAACCTTAGAATATTTACACCACTACTATTGGTGGTCTACAATGGTATGCAACGTGGAGAAGTATGTCTCCTCCTGCGAAATGTGCCAGACCACCAAGCAGTCTACTCGACAGAGAGCTGGGCTGTTGCACCAGCTGCCAGTTCCAGAGGCCCCATGGTCCTCTATATCGATGGACTTCGTTGGTCCTTTCCCAGCGAGTCTAGATCATAACTACCTCTGGGTAGTTATGTGCTGTTTGACTTCGCAGGTTCACTTGATACCTGTGAAAACCATGATCAATGCGCTAGAACTCGCATATGAGTTCTCGAAAGGCATCATGCGCCTTCACGGACTCCCAAGATCCATAGTGTCTGACAGAGACACTAAGTTTACATCCAGATTTTGGATGGAATTACACAGGTTACTCGGTGTTCATCTAAAAATGATGACCACTTTCCATCCAGAAGGTGACAGACAAGCTGAACGAATGGTTCAGAGCGTTGTCCAAGTAATTCACACAGCTATTCGGCCAGATCAGTGTGACTGGGTACTAAAAGTCCCTCTTGCCGAGTTTGCAATAAACTCGAGCATGAATAAATCAACAGGGTATGCCCCTTTCAAACTTATCTATGGGACAATACCCCATATGATGGTGGAAGTTCCACCGACTAACCTCCCTGGAGTGGGCACCTTCCCACAGAAAGCGTTAGATAACCTCCAGGGCGCCCATGATGCGATAATAAAGAGTTGCATCGAGCAATTGGTCCAAGCCAATCGGCATAGGCGCCCAGATCCGCCTAAGCTGAAGGTAGGTGACTTCACCTACTTGGCAACCAAGGACCTCAACCTGCCTAAGGGAAGAGCAAAGAAACTCCTCCCCAAATACATTGGGCTGTATGAGATCCTCGAAGCATTTGAGGATTCATCCAACTATACACTCAAGCTCCCTCTGGAGCTTCTCAATAGGGGTATTCACCCCAAGTTTCATGTTTCTCGTTTGGCCCCACACAAGCCAAATGACTCACTGCTATTCCCGGGTCAGGCTGCCCAAGTCTTCTACAACTTTGGTGAAGATCCTGAACGGGAATATCAGGTCCAGGAAATCCTGGATCATTCCTGGGACACTGGCAGTAGCCTGTGGTTCCGCATCAAATGGGGCCTGGGGGATCTCACATGGGAGCCTCTCACTCATTGCAATGAATTGGCTGCATTGGATGACTACCTATTGTTACATGGGGTCGATGCAGTAGAAAATTTGAATAAGGAAAGCAAATTTCCTTCTATTCCCACATGAGGGGCTAATAAAGCACCCTGTCCTACTCGCTCCTGATGGACTACCCACTTGGGAATAGTCTTACAGCCTAATGAAGGACAATTATGGCGCTAGTTGCCATATTTGGGGTTTGCCTCCGGGGTATGAACATTGTTCCCATGGACAAAACTTCATCCTTCTTCTTTTCCCCCATCATGTCTGCTCGAGCGAGTGCAAGAAAATTTCAGGAGGGAAATGCCACCCGATGACGACTGTGGGCAAAGCCCACGATCGAACACCACCCCCATGGACACTGAGACCACGGGTCCCACCTTAGACAGCGTTCAACATACTTCAACACTGGGTGCTGAGGCCCCCAGTGCCGCCAATATCCCTAATCCTACCCCGATACCAACAGTATCAGGGCGTCCTTCCCCTGTGATGGATGTGCAAGCTACTGCAGCTTACACTGTGTCCGACCATCAGACAATGGGCCAGCAATTTTTCGTGGACTCGATGGCACCAGGACAAGCGCCGCTGTTGCCATACTTTAACCCCAATCTCTGGGGTTACCACCCTTCCCTCCCTCGTGGAGCACCCACTCCTGAAGCGGCTCACCAGCTGCATGCTACAATGTCAGGGTCTTTCCTGACTGAACTCCTTATGGACACAAATGCCCGTGTTCGATGTCTTGATGATGAACTGTCACAGTCTCGAGAAGGGACTCAACGTATCCAAGAAGAAAACATAGGGCTCCATGAGGAACTCTTTAACATCAAGCTCGAGAACCAGCATCTCACCAGTGAGTTGTGGGAGGTCTCATTACACTGGGATTTCCTCCAACGAAAGTGCAACTCGCTGGAAAGGGACCTTGAGTCATTTGAAAAAGGTTGCGAGGAAGATGAGGCATCGCACCCTCGAAAAATCCCTCACACAGAAACGCATACCCAGAACACCCCCGTTGAGAGGGCGCATTGTGTAGATGACAACTCTCATCCACACCCTGGACCAGCCAAACTGGCCCGTCCTCCCTGTTGCTGACCCAACGGTGGGCCATTGTCGGGGACGGCTCAAGGAAGGCAGAGGTAGCAGCATAACGCTCGGCACTAGCGGCCCAGATGGCAGCAGGGCAGTGAGACTGTATAGTGGATAGCCTTACTCGGGCTTACATCCCTGTGTGGCTTCTTAGGCTGAAGCGGGAAATGTATTGTTATTAGGGTGGGAAGCTAGACTAAACTAGGGTACTTGCCTGAAGCGGGAAATGAGAAGAAGGTTACTTCTTCAGTCCTGCTTCGGCTTAGTTTATATACATGTGTGAACGGGTCACGTGGGAGTGCCACATCACCTTCGGACGAAGCTGGGTTACCACAGGTGGCTCCACGGTCAATCCCGAGTGTTGGAGGGGAAGTACAAGTAGGAGTGCACGGCACGTCCGGCGTGGCAGTGCCCCTACGGGGTGGTCAGCATCGGGCGTGTCCGTGCTACAAGTGTAGGAAAGAGAGAGACCGTCTGTATAAAGATAGAAAAAGAGAAGAGGGAAAGAAGAGAGAAAGAGAGGGTGAGATGAAAGGAAAGGAGGTGGCAGCGGCGGCGACGGCAGCGTGCCCTGACAGCCATAGGATCCAATCTAATACATCCAATCCCGAGTCAGGAAAAGAGTGGGCACCACGTCACCCCCTCCTACCACTTGAATATTCATGGTTCCGGCTACCTAGCCAGAATCGTTCTCCTTCTCCTGGGACATGGAGAAACATACCCATCCCGGGTTCCTTCCATGCCAACGACTTTGTACATGGAGTTACCGTTAGTGGCCAGAGGTGGCTGATCACCACTGAAATACCATCGTCAATGGTGATGGGACAACTTCATACTCCTGTTCCTGATTACAGTGAATGGGTTTAAATTCCTGGTCGACCTCAAGTGGATCGACCAGCAGGTTGGGGTGGCTGGGGTTATCAATGATGCCCCAGGCAATGTTCGTGACCTTCATGCTCGTTACTTCGAGCTAAAATTCGAGGGCGGAAGGAATCCTTCTGCGGATGACTTTGACAAGAGGTATGGGTACGTCCAAAGAACTCCCGAAATTCTCAATGAGGCAGGGATGAAGTACATCCTGCTGTCGTTGTGGAGGCATCATCCCTCCAACAAGGCAAGGGTTCATAGGGCAGCCAATACGACTGCCTTCAAATTCTCGAAACTGCATGTGGGCAACTACCCCGTACCTCCTCCCCCTCCATCGCGGTCAGGGCACTTCATGCCTGAACCAGCTCCACCTGCGCCTCCACAAAAGACGTGGGTTTCTCTCTCTCAATTAATGGATGGCAACTATGGCTATCTACCTGCCGCTGTGCGCCCTCCCACCCCACTGCCTATCCCCGACGAGGACGAGGATATGAAGAGTGATGGCGAGGCGACTACAGGGTCAGTCAATGAGGCTGCCCCTCTTCCTAAACATCGTTTCCCCGCTGCGATCCAGTCTGAGACCAAGGCCGCTGTTGCTGGTCCTTCGGACCTTTCTAATGCTGCCATTTCCACTACTGCTGGCCTTTCCTCCAAGAAGGTTTAATCACCTTCTCTTCATCGAGGTATATGTGCCTCATTTAAAATGGAGGGTTTAATCACCCCCCATTCTATCATCCGCTCTGGTGCATCATTCATACCGCTGAGGCGGTTTTTGCTTTCTGCTCTGGGACCGTCGTAACAACGGTTCTGCAAAGGCCTAACAGCCTTTGCTTTGCTATGTTCTCCACCCCATTCTCTGGACCATCATAATAACGGTTGTGTGAAGGCTTGACAGCTTTCACTTCCTTAGTTCCTCTGATCCACCGAAACAGTGGGTCGGTGGAGGCCTAATGGCCTCTACTTTATATATCTTTCTTTGGTCTGTCGAAACAACAGACCTGTGGAGGCCTAACAGCCTCTGCTTTATATCTTTTCTTTGTTCTGTCGAAACAACAGACCCGTGGAGGCCTAACAGCCTCTACTTTCACTTAATCCTGAAACTGTCATAATAATGGGTTCGTCAAGGCCTAACAGCCTTGCAATTACTGGATGGCCTAACAGCTATCGTTTTTAAATTCTTTCTTGAATAATTCTGGTAAAAAGTTTTGAGGGGAATGGCTTAATTGCCATTCCCCACTTTATATTAATTTCTTGACAACTTCTTGTTATACCTGCCTGTGCGATATTAATATCGCAAGGGAGGAGAGTGTAAGGGATATAGGCCACATACTCGTGGCCTACCTTATTCATTCTTCATTCTTTATTTATCGCATCGGGTTTGTACCCGACATGACACTTCTATTCCCAAACCCTTCATTTCTACCATGCAGTCCCAAGCCACAACTATCACATGTATATGCGACATTGTATTTAACCTACATGTGAGGGGGGGTAAAGGCTTCCCCAGCCTTTTACCCCCCCATTGATAAATACAGCTTCATACAGTGTACTTCAGCGGACTGGGAGTGTAAGGCAAAAACCTGACTATCACGAGATCACTCGCAAACTCAACCCAAACAACACTTACACTGAACAATTTCACAAAAGCCATATCATGTTCCTTCCTGAGCTCTGTGATAATGCCACATAGGCATTGAATGGAATTAGCCCACCTGCTGGTGGTGGTGCTAGATCAATCATCACATACTTAATTGTCTGCCCTTGAGCCCTGTAATCTGTGAGTGTGTATGCACTTGTCATCAGCAGTTGTCGCTGTTTCACTGTCCTGGTTGCTCCATCTTTCAGAGTGATCCGGTAAGTGCATTCCTCCACAAAAATCAGAACAACTCCCTTTTCCAGGTCCCCAACTCTCCTCTCACTGCTGTGATTGAGCTTGACCAGAATGCATACTGGGAGCTGTTTCAGCCACACTCTCACTATATCCTGTTGGAGAACTGTGTGTTATGGGAGCAGAGCAAGCATTCTGTACAGCCATGTTCCCACAGCTGCTTGTGATTCAGATTCTCCTGGATCCTACAGTCTGACCTACTTGGTTGGACCATGTGCTACTCAGTCACAAGACTTCCTTTTTCTACAATTTCGGACTTATCCGTGCTGGGCCATTCATTCATTGAATTATTTCCTTTTTCCTCAGTTCTCACACATATAGCTTGAGACTGAGGTCAGTAATACTTCCTTTCATTTCTCATCCCTTTTACTCTGTAATTCAATATGTATATTGCCTTTAGCTAGTGCTTATAGGTAATATAAAGTTCTTGTGCATATAGCTTGAGACTGAGCTAGCACTTATAGATCAATAACCACACATTTCTATTGATGAGCGACAATTTGATCTCGGAGCTGGACTATAAGTGTGAAGCTCAGTCTCAGCTAATATCCATGAAGAACTAATTGTATTACCTATAAGTGTGAAGCTACATCAGGAAACTTCCGAGCTCGATTGAAACAGTTGAGAGCACCCAATGTGCTCAATCGTGACAACCGATGGATCGAGTCAGCCCAATTATTGTACACATCATTAGTATATATTATGTATGTACAAATGTCGGAATAAAAGTTCACTGGTATCGTGATATCCACCGATGGTTTTTGACCTCACTAAGAGTGAGTCTATCCTCTGGATTTTTGCACAGGGACTAGCGAGAGGTTAGTAGCAGTAGGGCTGAAAAGAACTTGAAGTCTGAACATACACGTTGGATAAGGTTGGAGGCGTCCAATGAAACATGATTGGGTATCCAGAGATCAACCTCTGTAATCTGTCGATATGTATCTATCGCACCATGTCATTCAACAGACTGGACAATGTACTGGTGGGTCTCACATACCTTGTTTACTCCTTCCTGTGAAAGGAGATTTACCGGTGAGTAATTGATAAGTAAGGACACCAAGTGCCCAGTGATCTACTTTCTCCAAGTATGGTTGATTTTCGACCATTTCAGTGTCAGGGGACGACTCCCGGGTCCCCATGACCCTCCCCTATGGCCCACAGCCTCAGGTCTGGCCAGCCCTATCCAGGGCACAATCTACTGTGGGTAAGAAGATGAGAAGGAAGCTAACTTCTCATCTTCCCACAGTGGCCCCAATATCAGCAAAACTTCCGGGGATACCCGGAAGTCACATGAAGGGGTAGGAACCAGGCCTGGAGCATGCGGCGCACGGAGCTGCATGTGTGCAGGAAGCACAGCAGGCGGAAGCAGGTCCAGACGCGGGTCCGGGTCCGGGCTAGTCAGGGTGTGTGCCCTGACATTCGGGAGCCAAATAAGCGGTTGTGCTACAAATAGTTGTTTGGCTGAGAAGTTATGTTAGTACTGTTCAAGGTGACCATGAAAGACTTACTGGTTGCGTGTTTGAGTGCTATAACTGAAGTCCGCTAACGTAACCTGTCCATGAACATCAACAAGGATGTTCTCCAAGTCAATGTTGTGGTAAATGATGTGCTTGCCATGCAAATATTTGAGCGCATCTGTTATTTGAGCAATGTACTGAAAACAATCAATGGTCATAGTCATTGGTATTTGAACAGACCTACTTGACTGCTCATCTGTTCCGGAACACGGCACCATTCCAAAACGCGATCAAACAACGTTCCTTTCGGAGCCAACTCAAGCACTAAACATATTTGCACCTTATCGTCGAAAGAGCTGTAGAGGCAGATGATGTTTGGGTGGATGAGATTCTTGTGGATTTCGATTTCACATTGAACTTGTTCCTCGACATTTTGGTCCAGTTCAGACTTGCATAGGACTTTCAAGGCGAGTGTTGACATTGAGGGGCACTTGGTACGAGCAACATGGACTCTGGCAAACTTTCCTCTCCCAAGTTCATGACCCAGTCCAAACATTGACATATTCCAATGTCAGGTGGGTTGCAAATCAACATTGTTGAGGAGTGCGTGAGGCATCATCAGACTTATGGGGTGAGTGAAGATGAGAAATGATTTTCGGAGCCGAGTGAGTGACAAGCTGGAGGGAAATGTGAGTTTTAAGGCCGGAAGCGGAAATCTCATCTTGAAAACTTCAGCCTGGAACGAACGGTCAATCTTCAGGGGTCCATCAGTAGTCCAAAATAGCATAACGATGCGAAAGAGGGTCCGCACTAACATTTTGCAATGTTGGGTAGTCCGAGAATTTGACAAGTGGGTACTCTTTCAGGATTTCAACGGCCTCATCTTGCTTCTTTCCTTTCTTCTCCATGCTCTCATCTGCACCAGATGCCCTATCGGTGTAGGTAGGAATATCCATGAAGTTACTTACCATGTCTGTGCTGCTGTTGACAAGCATGTTGTCCATGTCTTGCCGAGCATAACCCGGCTCAAAGAACAGGAGCCAACGTGCTCAAAAGCTCCTCCTGTTGGCCCTCATCTGCGACAGAAATCCCCCACTGCTACAAAGTCCATAACTTTTCCTTCATTCTGCAGTTATTGGGGTTGTCCACATCCTCACGGCACGGAAACGTACGATCGCATTAATTATTTCAGAGCTAGGGAGAAATGAGACAGGCAGACTCACTGATGAGGGACAGCTTGATTCGTGACCCGAGGTCAAGCCAGCCGTCTGCAAAACAGTCCTTGACTTAGACTCGCATTGTAATGACGAGAACTTTTGTAAAGCCAACTGTGACAACTCTGAATTGGATTCATACCCCGAAAATGAGGGATTTTTCGACATTGACGCTAAGGCATGCCTTAAAGATGAGGGCCTCTGCCAATTGGCCTTTGAAAGGATGTATATGCGTACCTTGACGAGGAGTGCTATTCTGAGGCGGCCCACAATGTCCCCGGAGCAGCACCGAGTCCCCTGTTGAGTCCAGCAAAGGCAGACGTGAAGATACGGGTCCAGAGGCGCTCAAGCGAAGCGGCTGAGTGAGTTAAGACATTGCATTCGATGCATGAGTCCGATGAATGACATCACAGTCCACCCAAGGACCCGATAAGTGCGCCAGACGACTCTGGGTGAAGAGGGGGAGGCGAGGGGTAGACAGCCTCTTCTATAGGCTCCACCATGGGTTCAGGGGATGGAGGCGGGACTGGTACGACTTCTCGGACCTCCCATACTGATGGAGATTGTTGCACTGACTCTTCTTTCTGTCGAAGCAGATCGGCGAGCTCCATTATATCATCTTCTATCTTGCATACTGCTGTTGGAGGCAGAACAGCCACACTCAGGATGATTGGGGCTGTAGGAGGCCAGGGTGCCTCTTTTTCCTGTTTTGTTACAGGCAGGGCCTAGCAAAGGGTGAGCGGTATTCATTCGTCACATCATGTTGCATTCCACTCACAGGTGGGGCCCCAGCTGGCAAAGGCTTTTCCGGAGGTTTGTTGTACCGTGTCCGGGGCCGGAACTAAATCTGGTGGAGTCGTGGGTGGACATCTGAGGCGTTCAATTGGAGGCTTGGGCTCGGGCTCCTGCCAATATTATAAAAAAGAATGCTTGAGACGAATAAATAGCTGTCACCATTGGAACTCCTGGTGATGGAATGAACGTCCCGCCTCCACCTCTCCGAGCCTTTCTATGATCACGAACTATCTTCAAGTCCAATGCAGGGTCAACAGCCTCTGCCAAGGCCTCCCCGGTGGAGGGAGCTGTATGCTGGACTCCAAAGTCTCTAGCTCTCTGGGCTCACGATACTCGAATTCTCGGCGTGGAGAGCCTTCTCGAACAGGCCGATCCCTTGGGCCCTGGAGGAAGGGCAGGCGATCTGCAACACTGGAAACGTCCTCTCCTGTCGGCATCTGCTCTACAGTGCTCATGGACTTGCACTGCGTGCCCTCTGGGACAAAGGAGGAACCCTCCACTACTGTTACTGGGGTGGGTATGGTAATAGTTGGAGGCTCAACAGCAGCCTCGCCCCTCTGGCTCAGCTTCAGCAGGAGATCTATAGGTGCATGAGATGCCGTACTGTAACGATGGGACTGCGATTCAGCTGACTCCATTTTTCTTCACCATACTATCAGCCCACTCGTTGCTACTCTCCTCCAAGGGAGGTTGGGCAGGTGGAGCTGCAGGGGCGCAACTTCTTGGTCCTGCATATCAGAAATGATACCATGGGCATTAAGAATCCAATGAAGCAAGTCTGTAATCCCTTTCCATGACGCAGCCTCCTGTGCCTCATTACGAACTGAAGGTGGTCTAATCTCCAGCTGTGTTGGTGGTGGCCGGTCATACAGTTTTTGAAGAAGCACCCTTGTTTCCAGCTGGTCCTCGAGGAGATTAGCGCTTTGCTGCTGTAACGTAGATAACATGTCCTGAAGTGCAGTAAGATCGACTCGAGGACAAGCAGGCAGTGGAGGTAGGAGAGGATGGTATGGTAGATTCTGATATTTCAGAACTAGGGGGAGATGAAACAGGAGTACTTGCTGATGAGGGAGAGCTGGGGGATCGAGCAGACTGACATCCAAGTAGTGGGAAGATAAAAATGAAATACTCGAAACAAAGGACAAGGGAGATGTCAGGGCAACCACACCTGACCATACAACCCCAGAACCACCTTCCCTGACCTCCCCCCACTTCCCCCACTTCCCTCATCCTCCCATCTTCACACACCTTTCGCAACTACAGCCTGCACACAAACCCGTGGGAAAAATCACATGGGTCAAGGCGAGCAACTCGCCTTAACCCATGTGACACCTTTTCCACATCGTGGGAACATGCTCAGCTCCTACCCTTAGTCACGTTACAAACTGTATAGTACATTTCCCTTTTATAGTAGCCAAGCAGGGAATAGGGAAACTTACCCTTCTTCTCAACTCAATCCCCGCTTAGTGAGTTTGAGGAGCTTGGGGTAGGATCTAGCACTTGGCTGCCTGGGACACCGCAAGTGTCCAGTTCTGAGGTAGGGCCACCCCCGGACAGAGGCTGGGCCCTGACAGCAGAAGAAGGGTTCAACCTACTTCCACATCCCCTGATGTCGCTAGAAGAACAGATATTAGAGCTGACTCGCCAGCTCCAAGACCTCCAGACCCAGCTGGCTACCCAAAGGCAGCCTGCCCCCCCCCCCCCCTGCTGCTGCTCCCGCTCCAACCTGCAAGCCACCCAAAGTAGCTACCCCCACTCCCTTCTCCGGGTCGCAAGATGACCTGGACCGCTTCAAGGCAGAATGCGGGCTCTACATGAGCATGCGCCATGCTGAGTTCCCAGATGAACACAGCCAAGTTCTGTTCGTCCTGTCATACATGAAGGGAGGTGCTGCCAGCCCATGGGCTACCCAGCATATCAACTCCCTCCTTGCCCCCAGTGCCCCAAGGATCGCCTCTGATGATTTCGCCCAAGAACTGGACTCCATGTTTGCTGACCCCAACCGTCAGGCCACAGCTCGGCAGAAGCTGGCCTCACTCCAGCAAGGCAGCGAGTCAGTGGACAAACTGATCCAGCAGTTTGAGCTCCATGGACCTGTGTCATGGATGGGAGATGTTGCCCTGGTAGACCGTTTTGAGCAGGCCCTCCACCCACGCCTCCGAGAGAGCATCTACCGCCTCCGCCTGATGCCTATGACCTGGGCCGAATGGAAGTGTGAGGCCTCCGTCCTTGACAACCAGTGGCGACGTTTCCAAGCCACCCAACCTCGCACTGTGGCAGCAAAACCCTCCCCATTCCTCTCTCACCCCACCCCACCCCTGGCACCGTCTACCACTGCTCCTGCTGCAACCCCAAAGCCAGACCCTCAGGCAATGGATCTGGACCACACACGCTCCCCCCACACTGAACAGAGACGCAGTGGGCTCTGTTTCAACTGTAACCAACTGGGGCACAGTGACTGCCCAAAGCCGAGACCTCGCCAGATCCATGGGGCCCTCCAAGAAGAAGGCCCCAGAACCCCATCCCAGCTGGCCCCAGAGGACCCTCGAGCGATCATCGACTCATTGAGAGGCCATCATGCAGTGGAGGCCCCTCCCCCAGAACTGGAGGAAGTGGAAGAAGATCCAACAGGGGATTTTCTAGAGGGCGACCAGTGAAGAGTGTGCCCCGGTTGCCTGATGAGAGCGATGTACCCACCTGTAAATACCGCAGCTGCCCCAGACGGGCCATCCAATCTAAGCTGCTCCGGGTAATTGCAAAAAAGAGAAAAGCCACACCAAGGAAGCCAGAAGGGTGTGAACCCCTGTGCAAGGTTGCCATCCCAGCCCCTGAAATTTATGTCCTGTCCAAGCACTCCCCCTGCTCACTCAACCTCTCAGTGGAACTGACGTCCACCACTTCACAAATTGCAATGTGCTCAGTAGTGCCTAATTGATCAACTTGATTTCCAGGATGTAAATTTTTTTTTATTAAAAAAAGGAATCTCAGGGTGGGATCCACATGTCTGGCTACCGGCCACAACCGCAGCAGCTGGTAATGGACCTTTCATCCAATGTACAGAGCTTGAACAGAGAATTGAGCCAAGCTCAGCCTAACCCACCCACTCCCAATTCTGTCAATGCCAGCATGCCCTCTCCTGATATTTTTAGCCAAGGTGTTGGCACCCCCACCCACAAGCCTACTATTGGCCTCAAATTGCTTTCATTCTTGAGTGCTTCTCCCGCTTCGGGAAGTAGTGTCGCCACGCCTACAAGGACACTGGGCAGCCTCGACATGGGGGTGGGGTCTGGGAAGGATGCAAGTCAAACTAAGCGCCAAGCAATGGTTCTTAAGAGCAGTTTTAAGGGGAATCCCCATAACAACTTAATTGTTGAAGAGATCTCTGTGGACCTTTACTTGTTGGTAGTTACAGAACAGTTGTTCATAGAAAGATGTGCCGATTTCAAGGAGATTATCCGAGGATTGGCAACAAATGCAATCCAGCACTCGCAAAATCCCTCTTCTATCACCATCGACCTGTCTGACGGTCTTTTTGATATGGTGCGTGTACCTCCTTCACTCAGACTTGACCCTCTGTTATCTTTAAATCCTTAGTTTGCATGAGACATCAGGACATGCTCAAGTCACATCTCCTTGGTGAAATCCCGGCATTGTATGGTGCTGGAGGGGGTGTGGAAGTGGGCGCTGTCGAGTTGGCAATTGACGGTGGTAACTATGCATTCCGAACCTATGAAGCCGCGACAGGCACCACAGATGAGGTGACAAACTTACCTTTTTTTAACTGCTCAAGCTCATGTTTCAAATATCAGTCACCACGTTTCGGGCCGCTGGAACACCCTGCCATTGCTGCTGTGTTGGAATACACATTTGGGCTCAAAGAACTGCGACTGGCAACTGACACCAAGCGCCAGGATCTCAAGATAAGGCTATCCAAGCCCAGCATTGAGACGGTTGTATTTGCATTGACTATTGTAAGTGGATAGTTGTTAGTATCACTCAAGACATGCGGCTCAAACAATTATCTCGAGATCAAATATGCATTGAATCAACACCAAAGGGGCTGTGTGGCGCCGGCTCTTCAAGAATTCTCTCATTCCAACTACTATGAAGACTGGAAACGTTTATGCTCCATGTGGGGTCATTGGAGTGCTAAGGAAGATCGGGCTGAACAATGGAACAGGATCTCGACAAAGCTTGGCAATGTCATACTGTGAGTTTTTCGACTTGTTTCTGGAAATGGATTCCAAATGGTTTGATTGTAGCTCGAAACTTGGCCTGGGTGCTTCACACAAAATGGAATACCTGTTGGACACTGAGTGAACAATCATAAATTGTACATAGCATCCGCAATTATATAAATTGTCCATCACACATCACACACAAAGATGCCTGAACAGAATGAGAGAACCAATTGATTGGACCATCTGAGCTATCCCCAATACCACTGATCGGGGGACTAGTTGAGGTGATTGAAATGAGTTAAACCACGTAAATCAGTGAACCCATCCTAATCATCCCAATCAACTAAAAATTTGAGAAGAACACCATTGATTTTGTCAATCTGAATCTGGGGACCTGATTGGCATGATTGGACAGGGATTGACATCCCAATGATCTCAATCAATTCAATCAGTCTCGGAGGTTTCCTGATGTAGAGGTAATGTACATAGTGTAAGTTACAATAGTAAATGAAACAGTAATAAAGGACTGTTGTAACTAACCTCAGTCTCAGCTAATATGCGTGAAGAACTGAGGGAAAAGAAATGAATTCAAAATGAATGAATATATCCGTGGCCTGGCATGGGTTAGTCCAAAATAATATAAAAGAGGTCTTGTGACTAAGTAGTCACATGGTGGATTCTGGGCGAGTTGCTCTCCCAGAATGTTCCCACGCTAACGCAGGAATGTGGCTGTTCAGGTTAGCTCCGTTGGAGTACCCTCATAGCACATGGTTCCTCCAACAATTTCCTCATATCCTGTGTGATCTCCAGCTCACTTGGATGCAACATGATCTTGATAATCATGCCACATTCCCCATTTGTGATATTTCTGTCCATGTCCACATTTGTTGTCACCATCACCTTCCCTCCAAGTGCAACTTCAATCATATCTGTCAGGGGATGACTCCCAGGTCCCCATGACCCTCCCCTATGGTCCACAGCCCTGTGGTATAACCAGCCCTGTCCAGGGCACAACCTACTGTGGGTAAGGAGATGAGAAGGAAGCTAACTTCTCATCTTCCCACAGTGGCCACAATATCAGCAAAACTTCCAGGGATACCCAGAAGTCACATGAAGGGGTAGGAACCGGGCCTGGAGCATTGTCAGGGTTCAGCACCCTGTCCTAGGGTGCCCCAGACTCCCCAACCAATCCCTTCCTTCCATTCCTTCATTGTTGCCTTGTTGTTGCCTCTCTGTGTTGTGTATCCGCTCACATGGGATAGCGTGGGAACTTTCTGAGCGAGCAGCTCGCCCAGAACGTTCCCATGCTTACTGGGCACTGCCACCTGGATGTACCCTCCGGGTCACACTACACAACTCTAGGAGCTGTATAGTTGTGGGCATGTGACCCATTCCTTTATTAGCAACCATGCAGGGAGATGAGACCTTTACCCTTCTTCTCATCTCATGCCCGACATAGTGTGAGGACAGGTTAGATGGGGGTTGAGGTCCAAGTCCGAGGCCGGGCCCTGACAAGCATGTGGTGTGTGGAGCGTGCATGCATGTGGGAAGCGTGGTGGGTGGAAGTGGGTCCGGACGCAGGTCCGGGTCCGGGCTAGTCAGGGTGTGTGCCCTGACATATCTGGTAGTTTGCTTCCATCATCATGCTGATTTCGTCTGCTTGCTGGCTGAAGAGCACATGCCCACTTCTCCAAAAGATGAAGTGGTCTGTTCTTGATCATATCCTCAGCTGCACAGATGAATAAAGTCTTCTTCAAACGCTGACA